AACCAGCTGATGGTTTCACGTGCACTGCAGGCCGGGGCGGGGCTCCCCAAGAGTGGGCCTGTACCTCCACCCTTGGACCAGGGTCCCCCACTCTGTTCTCCCAGGCTTGCCCGTACCACCCAGCAGGTTCATACCACCCAGCAGGCGTTGCCCAGGTCTGCGATCTTGATCTTGATTTTATCTGCATTTTGGGGCTCCAGGGGATTCACCAGGAGGTTTGAGGCACCAAATGGTGCTGGGGAAGGAAGAGCAGGGAGACTGAGCCGCTTTCACTCCTGCCAGCCCTGCCTGCCCACCACCTGCCACCCAACTTACTGCTGGGTGACAGGAGGCCCCTGGTCTCGCGCTGATTGGATGAGCCGGAGAGGATGGAGCAGGAGGCAGGAGAGAAAAGGGAGCCGGAAAAGCCTGAGGTCTGTGAGCCGGGGCTGAGGCTGCGGCCGCCCCCTGGGGCGGGGGAGGAGGAGGCTGGGGAGGGGCCTGCCCTGGCGCCCCCAGGGTGGTAACCTGAAGAGGAGGTGGAGCCGCTGCCCCCCTCTAGTCTCAAGCCGGAGTCTGGGGAGACGGGATGGAGGTGGAGGGTGAGCGGATTCCCTGCGCTGCGCTGCGCTCCGCAGCCCGGCACCCGCTGTGGCCCCTCACCCTCGGCCTGGGCCGCGGCCTCCATGGCCTCCAGCCTCTGCAGGTCCCGCAGCCGCTCCTCCAGCAGCCGCTTCTGCTGTTTTCGTTTGCGCCTCATCTTCTTCCTCTTGTTTTTGGACAGCTTACCTGTCTGCTATCAGAGCCACGGTCACCCCAGGGTTCCTGTCGCCCACCCCAGTCAGCGTGAAGTGGAGGTTTCCCTGCACGGCCACCAGGGAAGAGGCCTCCGGGCCCCAGGGCTCCCATGGATGCCAGAATGCGGCGCCAGTGCCCCTTGGCACCACCTCCTCACTACTGTCCCTGCCTCCCCACCTGTGGCCCAGCTCCCCACAGCTCCATTAGGAGTGGGAGGACCTGGCCAGCCCGCCTCAGGGTGCTCTCTGTCCCCTCCCAGCCCCAGCTAAGGCAGCCAGAAGTGGCCATTCAAGGATGATAGCATCCTTTCACCAAGAGCAGTTTGGGGCATGTGACCCACCCCAGGAATCACCCTCAGCCCAGCCACCCAGCCTTTTGGGAGTGCCACTGTGGGAGTGTGGGAAGGTGGGGGAGTGGAGCCAGTGTGGCCCAGGAGTGAGCTCTGAGATGGCCTCTGGTTTCCTCAGATGGGAGAGGATGCAAGGGAGAAAGGGCCCCCCCCAACTTACCAAGACCTCCTGGGGAGCAGTGCTGACTGGGAGTGCAGGTGGGGAGCAGGGGGACAGGAGGATTGGAGACTCAGGCAGGGGCTCAGGCCCAGAGGCCCTGACCCCACCCCATGTGGCCCCTTGGTACCTATGGAGCGGGAGGGGGCTGGCGCCCCTGCCTGCTGCCACTCGGTAGCCTCGGCTGCCAGGCGCCTGACGTAGGCGTCCCCCACACACAGCAGAATGTTCTCAGGCTTGATGTCCGTGTGGATGATCTTGCACTTGGTGTGGAGGTAGTCCAGGCCGCGCAGCACCTGCAGAGAGCCGCACCTGACCTCCAGCAGCTCCTGCCCAGGCTGGGCTGGGCAGCCCAGTGGGCAGCACTCACCTGCCTCACGATGCTCTTCACGCAGGGCACAGGCAGGCCCTGGTAGTTGGACTTGATGATCCATTTGAGGAGCTGGTGGCCCAGCACCTCCAGCACCATGCACACATCTGGGCCGGGAGTGAAGGGTGGCCAGTGGGCTTGGGCCATACAGACGTGGGGAGGCAGGATGTGCCCTGGGCAGTCCTGGTCACCATTACGTTGGTGTGATTGATAGTGTCCCTGTCACTCTCAACAGGTATGCCAGTTGGGATAATGCATTTTGTGGTCATCCTAGCAGAGCAGGCACAGAGGCCTCTCGGGCCAGCCCAGTCCCACGCCAGTCATGCCATAGGGCCTCTTGGCATCCCCCATTACCCAAAGGGGCAGGGTCACATCAGAGACTCGAGGTACTGGGAGGGCTGCAGGCCCATTGTGCAGATCTGCAGACTGAGGCTCTGGCAGTGAGGACCCTGGTTCACCGGCCTTTGGCTGCCACATGCTTTGCTCTTCCTGCAAAGGATACGGACTCCATTGACTCCTGAGATCCTGAAGTCATCAATGAGCTGGACAATGGTCTCTCTCTTGGGGTCACTGGGGTCACTGTCCCGGACCTGGAGTAAAAGCCAAGGGGCCACCGATGGTTCCAACCTGCCCCTCTCCAGCAGCTCCCTTCAGTGTACCCTGAAGCAGCTCTAGCCCCCACTCCTGCTCCATCTGCACCGTGCTGGGAGAAGGGCCACCAGCCCCTCCTGCCCCTTACCCATTCCTCCAGATCCTCCCCTTCTGGCCCAGCCAGCTGGAGGCTGCCCCTCAGGGAGCCCCGCCCTGCTCCGCAGAGCCCCGGCAGGCCCTGCACCCACATTGCCAGGCCCCAGGAGCTGGGAGTGGGCAGGGGAGGCGCCTCACACATTTCAGGAGCTTGATCTCATCCACAGCTGTCTCCGTGTAATGCCCTGCACTCTTCACCACTTTCAGGGCCACAAAGCGCTTGCGCCTGCAATACCGAGACCCTTGTAGGCTGTGGCCCTGGCAGGAGCCACGGCGGGGATCAGGGTGGCCCCCACCAAGCCCAGGGACAGGATCCCAGCCAGCTGGGCCCGGGAGGCAAAGGAGGCACTCACTGGATGTCCCAGCAGAGCCAGACGGTAGAGAAGTGGCCCCAGCCCAGTTTGCGCACCACGTGGTACCGCCCATTGAACAGGTCCCCGATCTTCACAGGGTAGTAGCCGCCTGCCAAGGGGAGGCGATAGATCAGTGCGGTGGGGGTCCTCCCCTGGGTCACTCCACTGGGTCCTCTAACAGCTTGGCTCCACTAGCCATCTGGCCTGTGTGGGCCCGGGCTGCCCTGGGTCCCTGCAGTGGCCATCAGGCCGCTTTGTGTCCAAGGCCGAGCCTCACCCTTGCAGTAGTCCTTGGGGTCTTCCTGTTCCTCGTCATCGGAGCCCAGAAGCCCCTGCAGCATCTGAGGCGCCGGTGTGGCCAGGGCTGGTTCAGAGCCCGAGGACTCGGGCCCGCAGGAGGCCTGTGAGCTGTGGGTGGGGTGGGTGGGCAGTGAGTGTCAGAGACGTCAGGGGCCCTGGGTGCCCGGGCCGAGCCCTACCTGCTGCTGCTGCTGCCACCACTGTCCCCACCACCGCCCGTGCTGGCGCTCATCCCGGCCGCGCAGCCAGCAGCTCCGGTGCCCCGGGTGGCTGCTCCTGTGGGGCCCGGCTGCGGCCTTCGAATTTATAGCCTCGGCCAGCCGCTGATCTCACCCGCCTTTATAAATAGCCTCCCAGCTGCTCGGCTGTGGGCAAGGTATGCAGCACGAGGAGGGGGCGGCGTGACAGTGGCCCAGAGAGCCCATCCCCCAGGCCAAGACCCCTTCCTGCTCCAGGCCCACTCTGGAGGCAGAGGGGGCTATTGCTGGGGGACCAAGGGCAACTGGGTGAGTGCCTGCACCTGAGCTGAGTGGGAGGTCCATACAGGGGTGAAGTAACCCTTACCCCAGGCCAAGCTCCTGTGCTCCAGTGCCTACCTCAGGGACATGCTCCACTTGGCGACCTGGTCCTTAGGCCAAGCCCCCACCACCCATGCCCCTGTGGGCGTCCTCCTGGAGGTGCCCCTCTCATTCCCATTGGAACTCCATCCCTGGCTGCTCCCAGCTGCTTCCTGCTTCTACTGCATTTCATCAGCCTCTAGGACAGGTGAGAGCCCCATGCTCTCTGAATGTGGCATTACTGGGTACCCCTCATTTCCACTACCAAAGGCACCAGGCGTGCTGAGGTGAGGCCTGGGAGCTTGCCAGTCCAGAACCTGTTCCTGCGGCCCTGCCTGGCATTCTGGCTCCCAGTGCTTGCTTTCCCTCCCCACCATTTGCCAAGTGCCTGCCGTGGGCTTCTCCATAGCTGGACATGGGGGAGACAGCAAGAAGCCACTCGCTGCTGGGGACAAGCAAACCCATAACCACTTTCCCATGAGTGTGGTGGTGATTGAGGGGCCTGTGACCTGGAGGCTGCATCCTGAGAGAACAGGAGAAATTGGGTCCCCAGAAGCATCCAGGACAGCACAGGGCACAGCGGGGCAAGGCTTGCAGCCAGACGCATTCCAGCTCTCCTCGTGCTGGTCACAGTGGCTGAATGGTTCAGGGGCAAGGGATAGAGGACTGGAGTCTGTGAGTTCAATGTGGAGCTTGGGCAGCGTAGCGGGAGATGGTCATTGAGCTGCTCAGCAGAGGATCACTCTGGCTGCTTCAAGGACAAGGGAACACAGGTGTGAGAGTGGGGCTGTGGGGTCAGCTAGGGCCTGCTGGAGGAGTCCCAATGAAAGGGATGGCACTCGGCAGGGAGGGGGCTTGTCCCAAGATATTGGTGCAGTGTTCCTGAACTGGTAGGGGTGGGACAGGCATTGGTGGAGGGGCTGCCTTCCTGTGGGGCCAGGGAGGTCGAGGGGAGAGTGAAGCCCGGGTACCTGATGGCCTCTCTCTGTCTGTGGGCAGCAGGTCATAGCCATGGGGCTGAGGGGCTCCCAGATCAGGAGAGCACTGAGTCAACTTGGACAGGGAAAAGCAGGGGCTGGGCATTGTGCCCTTTCTAAAAAGACATTTCTGGCTTGGTGGCTCACGCCTATAATCCCAGCACTTTGGGAGGCCGAGGTGGGCAGATCACCTGAGGTCAGGAGTTTGAGACCAGCCTGGCCAACATGGCAAAACTCCATCTTTACTAAAAATACAAAAATTAGTCGGGTGTGGTGGCAGGTGCCTGTAATCCCAGCTACTTGGGAGGCCAAGGCATGAGAATTGCTTGAACCCGGGAAACAGAGGTTGCAGTGAGCCGAGATCACGCCACTGCACTCCAGCCTGGGAGAGACAGCGAGACTCCATCTCAAAATAAAATAAAAAGACATTTCTATTTTATTTCCAGATGTAATTTTCCAGCAGGCAAATAAATACAGTGGGGAGAGGGGGAAGGAGGAGGATCCTTATAAATTAGAAACAAGCCCAGATAGGGGAAGGCAGGTGGGCTGGCTGGCAGGGGAGGTGGCAGGCAGGGAACCCACTGCTGGGCACGGTGCCTGGCTGTGTACCCTGTGCCCGCTGGTTCTGCTGGCTCCCCTCGGTGGCTGGCTCGGTTCTGGGGTTGTAAGGCATTGCGGTGGTGGCGGATCCGGCTTGCTGCTGTCTGAGCTGAGCTCACAGGTCAGTCACTTTGTTCTCCACTAGGGCAGCGACCTGCTGCAGGCGGCAGGCCAGCTGCAACTTCTGGCCCACAGGGTCCTCCTCCAGGGCGCTGATAATCTGCCCAGGCAGAGGAGGGTTCCCATCTGGGCCTGCCCTTCTGCCTGCTGGCCCAGGGCTGCCCACCCTGCTTCCATCTCCACGGGAGCCTGGGGGTCCAGTGGGGGCTACCTGGTGTCTCCCTGAGGAATCTGAATGAAAGCCTGAGTCCCTTCCCCAGCCTGGGCCCCGCCAGCATAGACTGGCACCCCTGCTCCCCTCAGAGGGTCCACAGGCATCCCTGTCCACCGCACTTCCCCTCCAGCGTGCCGTGGCTCACCTGGTCATAGTACCTGTGGATGTGACTGTAGAGCTCTTGCAGAGCCTCCAGACAGTGTGGAGCAGAAGTGTAGTTCTGGGGGCACCATGTAGAGGGAGGCAGTGAGGTCCCAGCCTGGTCTTCCAGCCCTAAGCCTCCACACCCTGCCCCCCGCTCTGTTAGTCTTTCCACCCACATGTGGACAGGTACACCCCCTGGGCCATGCCTCACCCCGGAGAGCTCAGCCAGAGCTGAGTTCATCTCCTGGTAGCTCGCCGGAGAGCTCTGGTGAATGTCCGCATAGTATCTGGAGGAGCAGACTTAGTTAGGGGTGGGGCGGTCCCTGTCCCTGCAGCCCCGCTGCCTCTGACACCCACCTCTCCACCATCTGCTTGTAGCGCGGGATCTCCCGGGCGTAGAGCAGTTTGTTCACTGGGGAATCCTGCTCCGGAGGGAGGGGAGGCGCAAGGCATGAGCTAGGAGGTGAAGGAGCCCCCATCATGCTGCCACCGCCCACCCAGGGCTCTGTGCAGAGCCCTCTAGGCTTCCCCCATAAGCCTTTCCTCCTCCAGCCCCTGCCAGCTGCTGCTGCTGGCGCTGCTCTCACCCGGCCTACTTTATGCTCCGAGGTGGTACAGGAGTCAATGAAGGTCTGGGCGATGACAGCAAGGATGGCGTCCACATTGTCCGATACCCGCACATCGAAAATGAGTTGTGGGTTCTTCAGGGCATTCACCCAGAACCGCAGCAGAAGACTGGGGGGGTAGGGTGGGCCTGGGCATGAGGCCCTGGCCCAGGTGACCTGGGCCCTAGATCTTCCTCTAAGTTCCAGAAACCCAGGGTGGGCGAATCCACCCTGGGAGCGTCCTGGTCCCTCCAGGACTCAGTGGATCCTGTGCACAGCAGGGGCGGGGCAGCAGGAAAGGCACCTGTTAGTCTTCCAGATGTGAAGGGTCCCTGGATCCTCAATGCCGTGCTTCTCTGCTAGCTCATCCAGGAGGTCAAACAGGTATTTCACAGCGATGGGGATGGGCCGGTTCACACTGAGGATGGCCTGGAAGGTGTCGTCCACAAACTTCTGCAGCGTGCCCTGTGAGACAGGGGACGGGGGCCGTGCGGAGGACAGGATGTGGGGACCGTTCATGGCTGAGGCTACCCCTGCCCCTCCAGGATCATGACCCCCGCCCCCTGGCTTAGCGGGGTCCCTGGCTGAGCCTCCCCTCGGGCCTGGCTGTGCAGGCTGCACTGACCTTCATGGACAGCAGACGGGTGAGGTAGATTTCCGGAATAGCCTTGGCCCGAGCCGGCTCCCGCTCCCGCAGGCTGCTACGCCGTACCTTGGCCTCTTCTGGCTCCTCGGTGGCTTTCACCAGGTGCCAGAGGTGCACCCCGCCCTCCTCGCCATCCTCCAGTATGGGGATGTCTGGGGACACAGGAGCCTGGCCTCAGGGCTCTGCTCCCTGCCCCTGGCCTGGACTGCCCAGTGCATTCCCCCTACAAGGTGGGGAGGGTGGGGACTGGAAGAAAGGAAGGAGTTGGGCAGAGGAGCTCGGGGGAGGCTCCAGGCCATTGGCCCAGCCTTGGGCAGGGTGGGGCAGGGGATGCAGCCGAGGCAGATGCGTGGCCAGGAATTCTGCCTGCCCAAACTGGACTCCAGTGGCTGCAGCCAGTGTCTAGCTCAGGGCCGACCCCGAGGGGACTCACTTTCTCCCAAGGGGCAGCTCTGGGCCAGGCTCTGGGAGACGGCACTGCCACTGTGCAGCTGAGGGACGAGCCCCACTGTTGCTCCATCTGGGACCTGGCGGAGATGGGAGCGGAGGCGGTGCTGACCCCAGCCAGGCGCCCACACTGCTCCCGCCCTGCCTGGCCTTGACCCCTTCACACCTTGTAGTGCTGCAAGGTGTTGAGTCTCTTCCAGTGGTTGTGGGTCACAGAGGTCAAGTCTTCATCCGACAGGGTCAGGTGACCAGCCAGGCCTGAGCGCCACTCTGGAGGGAGTCAGGGAAGTGGATAGTCCACAGCCTGCTCTCCTTGCCCCATGCTCAGAGTAGGGCACAGCTGAGGCTCTCCAGGTGCCAAGGGGTGGGGAAGGGTCCCTGGGATGGGTGGGCAGGGCTGGCTCTCTCACCAAGGTCTAGGGCATGCACTGAGGGCCTCTGGGAGAAGGGGGTGCCCTTGTAGAGTTGGTCCAACACCTTCTCCTTGACCTGGGTGATGGTGTCGGTGTCGAGCACCCGAGCGGGCACACGCTGCACGTCGCCGCTGCCTGCAGCCCCGCCAGCCCCGGGCCCCACCAGCACCATCAGCGTCAAGGGCTGGAACTCCACATCCTCCCGCAGCAGGCGGCTATCATTCAGGGTCCGTTTGGCCTTGCCTGTCACAGCGTCCACAGGGCCCTTGTCCACCTGGTACTGGATGGCCCGGAAGAGCATGTACAGTGGCTCACCGGCCACCTCCTGCACCGCCAAGATGACCTGGCATCAGCCAAGCGAGAAGGGACCGATGACAGCCCTTCTCACCTCTGCCTTGCCTCTAGCCAGGGAGAGGGTTCAAAGTCCCCTTTCCAAAGCCCCCCTGGCTGGGCCTTGGTCAGATAGGGTGTAGGTAGCAGCCCTCACATGGTGGGAGGGGAGGATTCTGCCCCTCACCCTCAGGAAGGCGTACAGGCAGATGGACAGCCAGTTGGTGAGCAGTTTCTCCACCATGGTCTCTGTCCTGCGGGGAACCAGTCACAGGGTCAGGCCTTCATGCCCGTGTCCCTGGTCAGGACGTCTCATTTTCCTTTCCCCCACCTCCTGGGGCTTCCTGGCTCCCCCCACCCTGGGACAGAGCCCACCCAGGGCACAGTGGGGGCAGGTCTGTGGTGACCCCTCACTCCTACCACTGGGTCCAGGTCAAGGCCAACCTGCGTAGCATGAGCTTGGGGTTCCTGTGCACGTAATGGGCCGCCAGGTCACCCAGCAGGGTCCTCATGATGTCAGTCAGGTACTCCAGCTTGCCATGCAGCGCCAGCGACAGCAGCGAAGCCACATGGCAGCGGTCCCTCTGGGTAAAGCTGGGCTGCTCCTCCAGGGTGCGGATGAGCTGGGCAGTGGGTGGAGGCTTGTCCTGGGAAGTCCCACTCTTACCCCGCCTTTGTCTCAGACCAGCAGGTCCCCAGCCCACCTTCCTTGCCCACCGGGGACTCGTGCCCCGCGACCCTCACCGTGAGGAGGAAGAGCTTGCTGTTGAGCAGGTTACAGAGCTGCGTGAGGCCCTGGCGCACAGTGGCGCAGCGGCCATCGTCCCCCGGCCCCTCGGGCTGGGGCTGCAGTGGGTAGCTGCCGTGGCCAGGGAAGAAGGCTCGCTCAGCGTAGGTGTGGTAGTCCAGGAAGGGGATCCCGCTGGCCTCCAGGTCGCTGCTGAGGTCGGTCATCTCTGTCATGAGGTCTGCAGGCCAGGAGGTGTGAGTTCCGGCCGTGGGGCACCCAGTGCCCCCGCCCTGCCTCCGCGCCCACCTGTGAACTCCTTGCGGCACTGGTCCCCGACGCCGGTCTCCAGGCTCTCCAGCTGCAGCAGCACCTTCTGGTAGTCCCGCAGGGCCTGCTTGCTCTTGTGCCTGCAGCCCAGGGCCAGCATCAGCCAGGGCCAGGGCCAGGGCCAGGCGGGCTGCCGGCTGGGGCACCCTTGCCCATGGCGAGGAAGGAGGTGTGCTGGGGGTGGGGGGGTCTCACCTATACATGAGGGTGAGGAGGAGCACGGCAGCAATCAGCACAGCAGCGCCCATGCCCAGGCCTGCCTGGGCCTCCACGGGAAAGGCGGACAGCGGGGGCTCGGCTTCGTACTGTACAGGGCCCAGGGCCAGCCGCACGTTGCCCATCTGCACCTGGGGGGGACGGGGCTCCTGAGTGCATGCTGGCGGCGCCCACTTCACCTGCCTACCCAGGACGAAGACTCACCACGAACTGTGGCAGGGCGGAGCCATTGGCAGGCTGTGGGGCACGCACGGGCGGCTCACAGTACAGGTGGGTGCGCGTGAGTGTCTTCACCAGGCACTCACCGCGGCCGATGTACACACGTACCTCCTCCTTGCTGATGCCCAGGTTGAGGCCCTCACCCTGGGACACACATGGGAGCCTGAGCCGCCGGACCTCACAGAGGCAGCCTGAGTACCCTGGTGGGGCAGGCTTGCAGATGGCCCTCACCTCCACGTCCAGGATGTGGCCCGGCTTGAGGCGGTAGGGGCGGGCGGGCCCCTCATGGCTGAGGGGTGCCAGGCGGGGGTTGGGCTGGTACAGGAAGCCCTGGCCCCCGCTGGCACTGGCAAAATCCACTTGCACATTGTCTAGGGTGAAGAAGACCCGCCTCGGGTGGGCCCCGTCTGGCACGGCAGGGCTCCAGCAGAGGAGGAGGCTGGACGAGTTGACAGAGCAGACGGTGGAGCACTGTGGGGTATTCAGGGCCGGCCGCAGGTGGAGTGAGCTGGGCTCCACTGTGCGCTGCCAGGGCCATGGCGGCCCCCTCCCCCTCCCCACTGGGCATGGTTAGGGACAGCCCTGTCACCTGTTGGTGAGGGGCTCACCTGCAGGAGCCACCCGCCAAGCTGGATACAAGCCTGGGGGTCTGCAGCAGGCGCTCCACAGCTCCTCCTTGGCTCTGGGTCCCGGGGCTGGGTCCTGGAAGCCTGCACCGCGCTGTCAGCCTCCAGCCACACAGACAGCAGGGGCCGCTGCGCCGCATCTAGGCCAGTGCCCCTGACTCGGATCAGCCGCCCACCCCTGTACCCGGATGACAGTCGGGATGTGGATGGGCGGTGGGTAGCACACCCCAGCCCTCAGCCCTCCTTCCCTCCTGCCGGTGCACAGGCTGGCCTGTGGGCTGACCCTCACCCCCGGAAGCTGGCGCTGGGCTCTGCTGCTATGAGCTGGGGGTTGGCAGTGTAGCGGAAGGGGCTGGCGAGCAGTGTGCGCTGCGCGTGGCCAAAGACCACAAGGACTGCTGCTTCTCCTGGGACAGCCTGGGGCCTGGTGCGGCACACGATGGCCTCGGGACACACTGGCTCCAGGCTGTAGAATAGGTGGCAGGGTTGCTCATCTCCGACTCCAGCCCTGGCCCAACCCCCATAGTAGAAGCCCCACTTTGCCTACATCGACAAGGGCAGGGACCACCAGGGCTGGCCACAGCAGCCACTTCTCTGACTGTACCACCCCCACTATGTAGAAGGGACACTGAGGCCTGTGGGGGTACCCACTGGGGACTCCTGTCCCCTGGCCCTCACGGTGAGGAGGAAGAGCCCAAATGCACCTGGGGGGACGGGGAAGAGCCCATCTGCACCGGATGGCAGCCAGGCTGGGACTCACATGGGACAGGGTTGGCCACCCACAAAGGCGCTGGTGTTGCTGCCTGTCTGGAGGTGCTGACCATGGATGGTGAGCTGGGTGCCCCCTGCCTGGGGGCCCCAGCGAGGACTCAGGCTCAGCAGGACAGGGTCCTGGGGAACAGCACGGGCTGGGTAGGCACAGTAGCCCCGCCTGGCCCTTCCGCACCCTGGGCCATGCCCAAGGCTGTCTGCTTCAGAAGTGCATGCCATCTCTGGGCTTTACATCCTGGGGCCAGAGTGGACCACACCCTCCTTCCCAAGGCCTCTGCACACTGGCCAGCTTCCTCCCAACCAGCCCTGCCGCAGCGGTAGTAGGGTGGGACTCTTTCATCCTCACAGCCGGTCTCCCCGCCTTCGCACAGCCTCTTCCCCACCACAGCTTGAAGCCCCCAACCTGCAGTTGCCTCTGTGCCCCCACTGCTCCTGTCCTGGGCTTCCCGACCCGCAAATAGTGCCACCAAGTGCCCAGGGCAGCAGGTCCCAACAGCTTTGTGCCACTGACCTGGTAGGTGAAGTGCTGGCTGGAGATGCCCGGTGGCTGGCTCTTAATGGCCACCCGGACAGGCCCAGTGGTGCCGTTGGGGGCAGGAGATGTCACACACACAATCCTGGGAAGCCGAGGCCCAGGAGCTGCTCAGGGCCAGGGACGCAGGGGACAGCCCACCAGCTGCTGCTGAGCCAGCCTTCTCCAGCCCACCCCTGACCCAGGGCTCCATGTTTCGTGGCCGCAGGCCTGCCATCTCTCTGGGTGGCTGTCTCTGAGGGCCTCCCCACCCACCCTCACCCTTCAAGTGCCTCACCGGGCCGAGGTGCGGTAGAGAGAGGGCTCAGGGCTGCAGGGCCGACTGGCCACACTCACGGCGTGCTGCACGTCAGTGAAAGTCCGGCCTAGGTTGGAGCCCAGGATGGTGAGGGCCAAGCCTCCCTCAGGGGGACCGGTCAGGGGCTCAACCTGCAGCAGCCAAATGATGGCAGATGGCGAACCCACGCCTGACTCTGCACCCCCCTGCCCCCACACCCACCCCCGACTCTGCAGTTCCAGGTGCCCAGCCAGCCAACCAGTCCAGCCAGGCCTGCTGCTGGGGTTTGGGGGCCCGAGGCAGGGCTAGTTTGACCACGGAGGATAGGACAGTGGGGGCAGGAGAAGTGGGACACTGGGCCATGTGGCCCCGACAGGAGACTTGCACTCAACCCTAGAGGCAGGGGCTTACTGCATCAATGCTGGGGGCTGGACACAGCAGCTCCACGGCCCCTGGTGGGCACAGGGGCCCGTAGCGACAGGCAGGCTGGCCGTCAGCACACCACAGGCAGCCCAGGCTGCCGTTGGCCGCTTGGCAGTGGCTGCAGTCCGGGTGGCCCATGGCACAGTCATACAGGGTCACTAGGGAAGGTCAGGCAGTGCACTAAGTGCCTGTCCACCACCCACCCTGCCCCGCCGGTCTGGCTGTCCCGGGGCTCACCATAAAGAGCACGGGCATTGTCCAGCCGCTGGGCCTTGCCCTGGGTGACGTAGATGGGCACTGGGAGCTCCCGCTGGGACATGGAGGGGTGGAACTGTGGGCGGAGCATGGGGTCAAGCTGGCTGCCCACTCAGGGCACCTCTGACTCTTGTCTTCTCTGGGCCATCCCCCAGAATGAATGTGATTATTCCCTGCCTCTCCCCCAAAACTGGGGTCCAGGGACAGAGGCTGTGGGCCCCAAGGCTCTCCACAAAGATGGCAGAGCCCTGAGGGTCTGTAGAAGCTGGGCGGCAAGAGGGTTTGGAGGGCAGCCGCTCACCTGATGGGCCTGGCAGTGGATGAGGCCCGAGTCCCCTGCTGTCTCCTCCAGGATAGCTGGCAGCCCCCGAAGTTCTCCAGGCAGCTCCAGCCAGCAGTGGAAGGAGGCATGCAGGCCCTGGGGGGGGGACGCTGTCAGGAGCCGGGACACGCTGTTGGCTGCCCCCACCATCCTGCCCCCTGCCCTCCTGACAGCTCACTCGGAAATGCTGAAGGTTCCGCACGAGTAGGGCCAAATGGCTCTCCCAGCCCACAGGCACCAGGTGGGGGCCTGCCAGGCCTTCAACCTGTGGGCAAGCCCCTGGGCCACGCGCCTGGACATCCACCTGGGCAAACAAGAGCCCTCAGCCCTTCAGAAGTCAAGGGGCCTGTGGCCGGGCGGCCCTGGGAAGGGCGGAGAAGGGGCGGCTCTGCCTCTGCCCGCAAGTTGGGCCCACCCACCTCCTGGGCACTGTAGATGGTCCTCTCGCCCTCTGGGCAGTGCTCTCCATACACGCAGTGGCTACTCTGGGGGCACCAATGACATCGCCATATGCTGCCCACGCAAGCGCGACACCTGAGGGGGCAAGACAGCTGCTCAGCTGAGTGCCCTCTGGGGCGCCACCCCTACCCCAGGAGGCAGGCCCAGGGACTCACGGGGCAGCCACCTCCAAGGCCTGGACAGCACCGCAGTCATAAAAGGAGAAGTTGGTGGCAGCCACAGCCACATCCTCGAACATCAGGGCCAGAGGCAGAGTGACATGGTCTGGGAGGGGACAGTGGGGGCAGGACAGGTCAGGTAGCTCCTGCCCCCTCCAGCTCCCACCCCAGCCCCCTACCCCATGGGCCACTCACCTGTGCCTGGAGGGTTAAGTGGCACCTGCTCTTGGGGAGGGGTGACACAGGCCACATGGGGCCCTTCCACAGAAGCCAAGCTGTCATAGTCCCCGAACGCACAATGGAAGTATTCATCTGCAGCCAGGGTGGGGAGCCGGGGGACAGACAAGGTGACCTGGGATGTAGTGGGGAGAAACAGGGAAATGGAGCCAGAGCAGAGGGGATGGCCAGGGCTGGGGGCGGCAGCCGAGCAGAGGAAGATGAGGACTGGAGGCAGGCAGGGTTCATGCTGCCCAGGGGGTCCAGTGGAGGTACGCGCCTCACCTGACCCTGCTCCTGGCGGGGGTGGTGGCCTGGCAGCAGACTCTGGATGTGTGGGCAGTGGCTGTCCTCATAGCTCCACAGCCACTGGTTCGGTTGGCCTGCCCGCCTGCACTGGCCCTTCCGGGTACACCTGCCAGGCGGGGGCCCATTGGATCACCGTGGGGGTCCTAGGCTCCAAGGATGAGCGGCAGTAGGGCGCTGGGGAGGCCGGCCCAGCAGGAGGTGTGAAGGGGACGGTGCCCAGAGAGGAAGGGCCGAGCAAGCAGGGACTCATGGCCGAGGCATGGACTCCAGCTGTGACTGAGAGGCAGCTGCAACTGGGCTGGGGTACACAAAGTGACTCGGGGCTGCCTTCAAGGATTCCTGGGGCTGCCGCATGGAGCATGGGTCAGAAGGGAGCTGCGTGGAGGTCCTGGTCCCTGGCTGGGGCTGCTGGGATGAAGAGCCCACAGGCTGGGTGGTGTTGGAGGGGAAGGGCTGCCAATCAGATTCATGGCTCGGTGAGATGGGGCTGGATGGGCGACCTCTGCGGTGGCCCCAAGCATCCTGGCATGCCTAGGGCTGCTCCCAGGGGCAGCCTCCTGGCACACACCACCCGCAGGCCCTTGCCTAGGCACAGGCTCCGTGCTCACCTGCCCTGGAGGACACACCAGCCGCACAGCGGGTCCTGGGCCTGGAGGCAACTGGCACAGTCAGGGAACTGGGGGCAGGCCGCCACGGGTATCTGGTCCACCTGAAGGGGCAGGGGGGCAGAGGCAATGGGCACGAGACTCAGGCCACGTGTGCTGGCCCCTTCAGCCCCAGGACGGCCCTCACCTGGTGGGCAGTCAGGACATAGAGGTGACTGCCACTGGTGTCCAGCAGCAGGTCTGGGCTGATGGCTGAGCCCAGAGGTCCCACTTGCTGGGAGTGGTAAACCTGGCCCTGGGAGCCGTGGAGGAACACCTGAGTGGAGGACAAGGACAAGGCTTACCCAGATGGCCAGAGGCTGCCCGTTCAGGGGACATCCGCTCCTCCCAGTGGGGGCTCCTTTTAAGAGCTAGCTCCCCTTCCTGCCGGGCCATCGAGGGAGGACACATTGCTTCCCCCACTCAGCACCCTTACACTGGGACAGCAGCAGCACCCTGGGTGAGACCCTGCGTACCAGGGACAGTTCTGCCAGGTGGGAGGGCAGCTATGGGGAGACAGGAAGGTCACCAGGGGGCACCACGCCCTGCCTGCCCCACCCAGCCACCCCAGCCACCTTCACCACGAGCCCCCCACCAGCTGGTGAAGGCAGGGCTGCATGGGGTGGCACCCAGCCAGCAGTCACTGTGGCAAAGCCCCGTGATCCACCGGTGGGATATGGGCTAAGAGGTGGAGGGTTCTGGGGGCTTCCCTGAGCCTCATGGCCAGGGGCACACCCAGCCGGACAGCAAGGTGGGCCCTCACCTTGTGCAGCTGGCCCTGGGTGTCCCCCAGGAAGGCGATCATGTGCCCGTCTGCCTGGAGGGCTGCCACGGCGCTGACTGGCTGCGTGAGCTGCAGCAGAGGCTGGGCCTCCAGGGGCTGGCGGCCAGCAATGGGGCTGGGGGTGTGTTCGTCACCGCAGGGGTATGACTCGGGAGAGTCCTACATGTCAGGAAGTAGAAAATCAGTCCCCGGAAGAGGGTCAGAGAGGCAGTCGGGGGGATGCCCAGGCTGCCAGATGGAGGAGAGCCAGCTACCCCTGGGAGGACCCCAAGGTCCAGCAATCAGGGCCGAAGGGCCAGGGCACCTGGCAAGCTCGCGGCACCCAGGAGAAAGGCAGAAGGAAACGGGTGGAGAGCAGGCAGGAGACCTGGCTGAGAGGTTGGCTAGCAGTTCGCACGGGAGGACACCCCTGCTTGGTGCTGAGAGATGCTGGCCCATCTACGGAGGGAGGGGGATGGAAGGGCACACGACTCACAAGGGGTAGGGTGACACAGCGCGACGTGACGCCATACTCCACGGTGGCTTCCTCTGCACCGCTGGGGCCTCGGCCGCCCGCCGTGTAGCAAAGTCTCCGGGCCTGCTCCATGATGGCGCCCAGCTGCACCATGGGGAAGGCGCAGAGTGCTGCCTGGGTGCCCCGTGGGCCCGCAGCAAATGCCCCTAGCAAGGTGCCTGGGGCAAGGAAGGCGGCCTGGATGAGGCCCTGGCCCTGGCAGGCCAGGGGGACCTCCACGTAGGAGTACAGGTTGGCATCCCCCAGGCAGACGCGGGCCACGTAGGAGCGGTACTCAGCCTGGGCGCGGGCCCCGCGGCGGCGGAAGACAAAGTAGGCAGAGCGGTTGTCGGCAAAGGCCCCCACGTAGCTGTTATTGTAGTCGGAAAAGTCGCCCACCACCAGGCGGCCCAGGCCCTCGCTGGAGAAGGGCTGAGGTCCCGCCAGCTGGCGGACGGCCAGGGGTGGTACCCCAGCCGACAGCTTGCCCGCCAGGCCTCTGGCCACAAGCAGGAGGTCCCGGCTGGGCGAGGGCACCACCAGCCCCACCGTCGCCACTCCTGGGGTATTGGCAGCCACAAACTGCCCGTCACCAGGGTCCTCGGCCTGGTACAGCACCTCAGCCACGTCCCCAAGACGCCGTGTCTCACACACGCCCTGCCGCACCTGTCCGCAGGCCACCAGCTCCTGGGTGCGGCTGCTAACCAGCAGTAGCTGGTTGGCATTGTCGGTGAGCTGGGCCTGCGGGCACTCAGCCGGGTCACGGAAGGGCACACAGTCGGGGCTGTCGATGACAGGACCAGTGACAGCTGTGGCTTCGAGCTGCAGCTCGGGGCTGAGCTGGAAGAGGCGGTTCACCGCGCCGACATAGAGCGTGCCTCGCCCAGCTGCTATTGCCAAGTGGTTGAGGGTGGTGTTGGGTGCAGAGAAGCGATGGGCCCCTGTCAAGGGCAGTGGCGGTGGGGACAGCAGCAGCAGGAGGAGGCAGAGGCCGAAGGGAGGCCAGCGAACCATCACGGGGGCCTGTGAGAGGGCACGAGTCAGGGCAGTGGGGGCCCAAGGCTGGCAGGACCAGAGGAAGGTGGAAGGCACAGTGGAGAGAGGCCAGGGAGGGAGGGAGGCAGAGAGACAGAGGGCGAGGGGGAGTGAGCGGGGATGAAGAGACAGAGGGGGCACAGAGAGAGGTGGCCAGAAGGAGGGACAAGGACTGTCCAAGAGCTGGAGCAAGAGGCGGGGACGGGACACGCGCGCACATGCACACAAGGAGAGAATTCTTTCATCTCCTACTTGATATGCAAGTAGATTGTTGAAGGGGGGCAGGTCCTGGAAAGCCACAAGAGCGGTAACAGAGGGACTCTGAGTCACAGAGGGGGCAGGGAGGGAGAGAGGGCAGGAGAGGGAGGGAGGCTGCGGGAGCTGGAAGGCTGGCGGAAGCTGTGTCACAGCACACCCCTGTGACTGCCATACAGACAAGAGAGATGGGCGAGAGGAGTGAGGCCGCTGTGGGGCACGAGGGACAGGACAGGGAGAGAAACACTGCTCTGGGCTGCAAGGGGGAGAGCCAGGCAGCCACGGGCTGGGCAAGGAGCAAGTTGGCGAGGAGCGGGGTCAGGGCAGGGGTGGGGGGCACTGGGGTGAGCCAGCGGGGGTGCTGGGCCCCATGGGTCTCTCAGGGCCTGGCACAGGGGGCCTCAGTGTGGGAGTGTCCTGGGAGAAGGAGAGCCAGGAGAGCTGGCTAGGGGAGGGGAAGGGAAGGGGTGCCAGACTGGAGATGGCTGAGCCCCTGAGGGTGAGAGGTGAGAGCAGCCCCTGCTGTGGCCCCAGCTGCCCCACCGCAGAGAGATGCTGTCCTGGGCAGAGCCCCTGGGAAGGGGCTTACACTGGGCAGAGCTCCAGGCCCAGGCCCTGAGTTGAGCAGGGATCCACGCAGCTGGGCGTGTGGTCACGTGCCGACCCGGAGTGGGGCCGCTGGGACTCGGGGCAGAGCCCTTATCTCAGGAACACAGACGGGAAGAGCGGGCATCTCCTGTGGACCCCGGGCTATCTGCGGCCGTGCCTGGCATTCGTGAGAGGCTGCAGCCTGTGTCCTGGGCCCTGGCCAGAGCCATCCTGCCCGACCCTGCCCCTCCCAGGAACATCTTTGGGGATGTGGGGCCTAGGCACTTACCATGAAATGGAGCAGCAGAGGGGTCTCCTGGGAGGCGCGGCACATCCACTCAGCTCAGCTGCCCCAGGGCAGTGGTGATGGGCACGAGATGGCTGTGGGGGGCATTGCCCTGAGTGGGAGGGAGACAGTCAAGGCTCAGCCCCATTCGAGCTGGCCTGGGGGAGGAGGGGTGTGGAGGTGGCGCCCAAGGCCTGGCGACCAGGCTCCCTCACAGCTGGCAGCTTTGTCAATAGTGGCCAGGCCAAGGCAGCCCTGCCTCCACCACAACAATGTTTCCTCTGTCCAGAGGCCAGGCCAGGGCCCCACTCATTACAGCTGTCACCCCCACCCAGGCTATGCTAGACAGGGGGCTCCTTGCCACTTCCCGCCCTCAGGGAGCCACCCCCGGGATCCAGGGACAAAAGGCCAGGGTTCCTCCAGCCAGCCCTCCCCCTTAGGCCCTGTCACCCCTATGTCACTCAGCATGCCCCTCCCTGACTCCCCTGGGTCCCTGTGAAGGGCACAGGGTGGGCTGTGCAGCCCCTGCCATGCCCCTACAAGTGCCAGTGGTAGCCTTGGGGCCAGGGTGCAGTACCGGTCCTGGCCCTCAATGCCTGTCATTGTCCAAAAGATCTTCCCCCATGCCCCTGGCCCAGCCCTGCCCCTGGGGACTGGTGAAGTGGTGCCAAGTACAGCATGGTGGCAGCGAGCAGGACACGGGAGGAGGCTGTTTGAGACAGGCTGAGGCAGAGGGTCCACAGGTCCCCTGAAGCACCATCCTGCTGGCCTAGGCGCCATCCATGCCCAGGGCGTGGAAGGGAGGGGCAGCTAGCAGCTGGCCGGTGGCACGGGAGTAGGTACGCTGGGGATGGGGTCTCTGCCTCCCCTGCAGCATGGCGGCAGTAGACTCCCGGGCATGGTGGCAGCAGGCTTTGGGGGTGGGGAGCCAGGCGGGCAGCCTCTCCATCCTGCACCCTGCCCGGGACTGGCACTGGCTCTCCCATTTTGGGGAAGAAACTCAGTTCCCTACCTCCTAACCCCAGGGTTACCCCTTGGGGGACACCATGCTTCCAGGCCCCTAGTGCCATCGTCAGGCTGGGCTGGCACCCGAGGGCTCCTGCCTGACCCCAACCAGTTGGCCGCAAGACCCTGGCTTCTCTCTTGCCAAAGCACACCCTGAGGCTTGCCCTGAGGCCTGGTAGCCCCTGCACTCCGAGCCCGACCCTGCCCTGGCTCCTGCCTACCTGGTGGGCCACTGGCGAGGGCCAAGGAGCAGCTGGTGGTGCCAGGAGCACGTCTTGCGGAGCCCCAGCCTCCCTCCCCACAATGCAATGGTGCCCAGCCCGACTCATCCCAACAAGCCTGGCCAGGCAGCCCAGCCTCTCTCCGCCCGCCCCTTTGCCCAGCGGCGCAGGGCAGGGTGCTGCTGCCCTCTGCTGGCCCCAGCGGGCATGACGGAGGGCTGACCGTGGGCACCGGGCTGGAGCAGGAGAGAAGGCAGCGCCCTCCTCTCGGCTGGGCATTCCATAACCTGGCACTAAGCACCTACTGGATGCCAGGCTTGGGCTCGGCACTGGCACTATTCAGCAACAAAGCATGCTGTGGATGGTTAAACACACAAGTCGGGAAACTGAGCACGGGAGGTTAGGATGCTTGCACAAAGTCACACAGCTAGATGTGGTAAAGCTGAGTCACCATCAGGCTACATGGCCTTGAACCATGAACCTTGGCAGGCGTTGGGCAGGAGATGGAGCTGAGGCCTACCCCAGGCCAGGCCTGCACATCACATGCCCACGTGGCGTTGAGCAAAACCAGTTTTTCCCACTGATTGGAACACAGGGTTGGTCGAGGGCAGGCTTCCGGTGTGTGGCGGGCTCTCCGCTGCCAGGCCTGACAACTTGGACTTGCCTTGCCACGGGGAAGTGTAAGCTGGTAGCCCTGGGGCAGAGAATGTGGGGAGGCCTAGACCAGGGGTGGTCATGGGCATGGAGAGAGGCAGGCGCGTTCTAGAGGCGCTCCGGGAGGCAGCACTGGATCGTGGCAGGAGGAGAAGGCAGGAGAACTCAGGCAAACCTGGGACTTTTCTGCTGGGGCACTGTTCCCCCTGGGGCAGGGTCACCCACGGAGGGGTGGGCGGAAGGGGAAGAACAGTGAGACTGAGGGGTCTACGAGGGAGGAAGAAATGGTGATGGGGCTGGGGAGGCCTAGGGCTGAGACGCTTGGCTCAGGTGACTGGAGCCCTTGGGGCGGGCAGGGCGTGGGGCTGGGTGTTCGCCCCGGAGCCCAAAGGCCCAGCAGACTCGGGGTGTGGGCGCTTTCCTGAGCATCTGTGTTATTCTTTCCAATCTGCATGGAGAGAAATGGGGCACATAGGTGGGTGACTTGCCCAGGGCTTTGGCCTGGCGTCAGTTCCCCAGAGAGCACTCCACGGAGACGGGATTTGAATCCAGGCATTCTGGCTCGGGCCACGCTCTGAACTACCGGGTCCCAGAGCCAGAGCCTGTCGCCTGCAAGCACTGAGGACGTGGAGGCAAACCAGCGAGTAGCCATCGAGGGGTCTCTCCCCAACAGGAAGGTCAGGCAGCCTTCAAGGGGCCAGGGAGGGGTCTAGAAGCTCTTCCTCTCCCTGTCCTTCCCCCCATGCCTACCCCAACACATACACACATATGTCCTCGCTGGCCCCCGGATGACAGACACCTGCAATCTGGCATCGGGGGTGGGCTTTTCCTTTCTTTCCACAGAAGAAAATAAATCAGGCTGGACACGGTAGCTCCAGCCTGTAATCCCAGCACTTTGGGAGGCCAAGGCAGAAGGATCGCTTGGGCCTAGGAGTTCTAGATCAGCGTGGGCAACATAGTGAGACCCCCATCTCTACAAAATAAAAATTAAAAATTAGCCAGGCATGGTGGTGCGAGCCTGTAGTCCCAGCTACTTGGGAGGCTGAGGTGGGAGGATTGCCTGAGCCTGGGAGGTGGAGGCTGCAGTGAGCCGTGATGGTACCACTGTACTGCAGCCTGGGTGACAGTGCAAGACTCTGTCTAAAAAACAAAAAAAGAAAGAAAATAAATCCACCCACTGGCAGCACTGTTTTCGTAAATGTGCGTGCCTACAGCCTGCAGCTGCACCTTCTACCTTTCTGAACAGATAAGAGGCGTGGCTGTGGCAGCCCCTGGTCTGAAGCTGGTGTACGAAGAAACATGTCAGGGAGTCGTCCTGGATGTATCTTGCAATGGCAGGGTCCCTTCACCTGGCCTGGTGTCATCTCCTTGCCGTATGCCAGGCATCTCGATGCTGGAAGGGGACTTGTTGGGTCAGTGGGATGTGGGCTTCACGTTTGCTGGGCTAGAGACACAGCTTTCAGTGCTAGTGCCCCAGCCGATACCCTCACTGCCGCTGCTGCTCCAAGTCTTCATGCACACCAGCGAGCAGACTTGATAGTTTCCGCCAATACAGTGGGTGTGAAATGGTGCCTGGCTGGGTTTTGAATGAGCATCCCCTGACCATCCATCATAGCGCAGCCCTTTTCTTCTGTGAAATGCCGGTGCATGTCTTGACCTTACATTTTGCAGGCATTCCTTCTTTTCAATCCCAGTCCTTGGAGTATATGTCTTCAGCCCACCTGCTACTTGTCCTCTCAGTTTGCTTATGTATCATGTCCTAAACACAAAATCTTAATTTAAAAAATATCATTGCATTTGTCAGTCTTATCTTTTTGTATTGTTTTGTTTTGTTTTTGAGACACGGTCTCGATACGTCGCGCAGGCTGGAGTGCATTGGCGCAATCATGGCTCACTGAAGCCTCCTGGGCTCAAGCGATCCTCCCACCTTAGCCTCCCAAACAGCTGGGACTGTGGGCAGGTACCATAGTGCCCGACTAATTTTGTAATTTTTTTGTAGAGACAGGGTCTTGCTGTGTTGCCCAGGCTGGTCTCAAACTCCTGGGCTCAAGTGATCCTCTCACCTCGGCCTCCCAAAGTGCTGGCCCATGAGCCCAGGAGCCACTGCGCCTGGCTACCTTCTTTTGAATTCCCATTCAGACTGTGTATTGCTGGTATATAGAAAAACAATGGATTTCTGTGTTTTGATTTTGTATCAAGTAACCTTGTAAACTCTCACTTTAAGTCTAATAATTATCTTTGGGTTCTCTTTCTGGATTCTTTTTGGCTTTTTGCATACACAGTCCTATCATCTGTAAGTAATGACTGTTTTGTTTCTTCTCTTCCAGTCCTTTTAGCTTTGATTTCTTTTTTTGAGATGAAGTCTGGCTCTGTCGCCCAAGCTGGAGTGCAGTGGCACAATCTTGGCTCACTGCAACCTCCACCTCCTGGATTCAAGCAATTCTCTTGCCTCAGCCTTCCAAGTAGCTGGGACTACAGGCACCTTCTACCATGCCTAGCTAATTTTTGTATCTTTACCAAAAACAGGGTTTCACCATATTGGCCAGGCTGATCTTGAACTCCTGATCCTCCTGCCTTGGGCTCCCAAAGTGCTGGGATTACAGGTGTGAGCCACTGCGTCCAGCGGATTTCTTTTTCTTGCTTTAGTTCCCTGGACTTGCCTTCTTTTGCTTTTACTTCCTTTGAATGAGAGCGTAGGAGGCGTTCGCAATGTTCCATTATTAAGTATGATGTTTGCAGGCAGCGTTTGGCAGATATCTATCAGATGTAGAAAGTTCCCTTCCATTCCTAGTGTACTATATGTTGAACTTTTTCGTTTCTTTGTTTGTTTTAGACGGAATCTCACTCTGTGGCCAGGCGGGAGTGCTGTGGCGTGATCTCGGCTCACTGAAACCTCTGACTCCCTGGTTCAAGCAACTCTCTTGCCTCAGCCTCCCTAGTAGCTGAGATTACAGGCATGTGCCACCACGCCCAGCTAATTTTTGTATTGTTAGTAGAGACGGGGTTTCACCATGTTGGCTAGGATGGTCTCGATCTCTTGACCTTATGATCTGCCAGCCTTGGCCTCCCAAAGTGCTGGGGTTACAGGCATGAGTCATCGGCCCGGCCTGAATTTTTATAAAATGCTTTTTCTGAATGCATTGAGATGATCACAAGATGAGCACAGGATCTTCCTCCTCTGATCTGTGTAATGCAAATTACATTTTCTGAGCTAAACTCAACTTAGCATTTTTTTCATATACAATTCTGAATCGGGTGTTTTTGTTTGTTTGTTTGTTTGTTTAGTCTTGTATGACTCTCCTCGTCTGGTTTTGGTATCAAGACATCATAAAGTGAGTGGAGGCAGTATTTCCTCTTTCAGCTGTTCACTAGAACAGTTAGTCTAAGGTGGAAATGATCAGTTACTTCCATGTTTGCTGGAGATAATCTGTAAAACCAACTAGGCCTTCCTTGTTTTTTTTGCTGTTGCTGTTGCTTTGTTTTTGTTTGTTTGTTTGAGACAGAGTCTCACTCTGTTGCCCAGACTGGAGTGCAGTGGTGCGATGTTGGCTCACTGCAACCTCTGCCTCCCGGGTTCAAGTGATTCTCCTGCCCTAGCCTCCCAAGTAGCTGGGACTACAGGCATGCACCATTGCATCTGGCTTATTTTTGTATTTTTAGTAGAGACTGGGTTCCACCATGTTGGCCAGGCTGGTCTCGAACTCCTGACCTCAGGGGATCCGCCCGCCTCGGCCTCCCAAAGTGCTGGAATTACAGGTGTGAGCCACCTTGCCCGGCCCAGCCTTCCTTGCTTTTGTAGCTTCATGCCCCTTCCCCTATAGATTTTAAACAATGGATCCAACTTCTGTAATAATTATGGGATGGCTTAGGTTTTCTGTTTCTTCTTGAGTACTTTTTTTATTGTGGGAAAAAAATACATAACACAAAATTTACCACCCTTTTTTTTTTTTTTTTTAAAGAGACAGGGTCTTGCTCTGTTGCCCAGGCTGGAGTACAGTGCTGCGATCATCGTAACCTCAAACTCCTGGGCTCAAGCAATTCTCCTGCCTCAGCCTCCCAAGTAGCTGGGACTACAGACATGCACCACCATGCCCAGCTTATTTTTATTTATTTATTTATTTATTTTTGAACCAGATCTCACTCTGTTGTCCAGGCTGAGTGCAGTAATGTGATCTCAGCTCACTGCAACCTTCGCCTCCTGGGTTCAAGCGATTTTCTTGAGTCAGCCTCAATTTTTTAATGTTTTTGATGGAGATGGGATCTTGTTATGTTGCTCAGCCTGGTCTCCAATTCCCAGCCTCAATGGATCCTCCTACCGTGGCTTCCCAAAGTGCTGGGATTACGGGTGTGAGCCACCATGCCCAGCCTCCAACTTTATTCCTTTGCATGTGGATATCAAGTTTCCCCTACACCATTTGTTGAAAAGACTGCTCTTTTCCCAATTTGTAGCCTTGA